CAAGAAAATAAAATCTGTCACTGTTTCTATTGTTTCCCCATCTATTTGCCATGAAGTTGTGGGACCAGATGCCATGATCTTAGTTTTCTGAATGTTGAGCTTTAAGCCAGCTTTTTCACTCTCGTCTTTCACCCTCATCAAGAGGCTCTTTAGTTCCTCTTCACTTTCTACCATTAGATTGGTATCATCTGCATATCTCAGGTTGTTGATATATACCTCCTGGCAGTCTTGGTTCCAACTTGAGCTTCATCCAGCTTGGCATTTTGCATGATGTACTCTGCATATAAATTAAATAAAGGTGACAATATATAGCCTTGATGTACTCCTTTCCCAATTTTGAACCAGTCCATTGTTCCATGTCTGGTTCTAACTTTTGCATCTTGACCTGCATACAGGTTTCTCAGGAGGCAGGTAAAGTGGTCTGGTATTCCCATCTCTTGACGAATTTTCCATGGTTTTTTGTGATCCACACAGTTAAAGGTTTTCACATAGTCAAGGAAGCAGAAGTAGGTGTTTCTCTGAAATTACCATAGAAAAACTATGATCCAACAAATGTTGGCAGTTTGATCTCTGGTTCCTCTGCCTTTTCTAGATCCAACTTATACATCTGGAAGTTCTTGGTTCATGTACTGTTGAAGCCTAGCTTGAAGGATTTTGAGCATTACCTTGCTCATATGTGAAATGAGCACAATTGTACCATAGTTTGAACATTCTTTGGCATTGCCTTTCTTCAGGATTGAAATGAAAAGTGACCTTTTCCAATCCTGTGGCCACTGCTGAGTTTTCCAAATTTGCTGACGTACTAAGTGACATACTCAGTATGCATACTGAGTGCATACTTTAATAGCATCATCTTTTAGGATTTGAAATAGCTTAGCTACAATTCCATCACCTCCACTAGCTTTGTTTGTAGTAATGCTTCCTAAGGCTCACTTGACTTCAGATTCCAGGATGTCTAGCTCTAGGTGAGTAATCACACCATCATGGTTATCTGGGTCATTAAGACCTTTTTTATGTAGCTCTTCTGTGTATTCTTACCACTTTTTCTTAATATCTTCTGTTTCTATTCACTCCATACCATTTCTGTCCTTCATCGTGCCCATCCTTGCATGAAATATTCCCTTGGTATCTCCAATTTTCTTGAAGAGATCTCTAGCCTTTCCCATTCTACTGTTTTCCTCTATTTCTTTGCATTGTTCACTTAAGAAGGCCTTCTTATCCCTCCTCACTACTCTCTGGAACTCTGCATTCAGTTGGGTTTATCTTTCCCTTTCTCCCTTGCCTTTTGCTTCTCTTATTTACTTGGCTATTAACATTTGTAAAACCTCCTCAGAGAACCACTTTGCCTTCTTACATTTCTTTTTCTTGTGGATGGTTTTGGTCACTGCCTCCTACACAAGGTTATGAACCTCTGTCCATAGTTCTTCAGGCATTCTGTCTACCGGATATAATCCCTTAAATCTATTCATCATCTCCACTGTATAGTCATAATAGATTTGACTTATGTCATACTTGAATGATCTAGTGGTTTTCCCTGCTTTCTTCAGGTTAAGCCTTAATTTGGCAATGAGGAGTTCATGATCTGAGCCACAGTCAGCTCCAGGTCTTGTTTTTGCTGACTGTATAGAGCTTCTCCACCTTTGGCTGCAAAGAATATAATCAATGTCCAGGTGTGGAATCATCTCTTGTGTTGTTGGAAAAGAGTACGTGCTATGACCTGTGTCTTCTCTTGACAAAAATGTTAACCTTTGCCCTGCTTCATTTTGTTATCCAAGGCCAAACTTGCCTGTTACTCCAGGTATCTCTTGACTTCCTACTTTTGCATTCCAGTCCTCTATGATGAAAAGGGCATCTTATTTTGGTGTTAGTTCTAGAAGGTCCTGTAGGTCTTCATAGAACCGGTCAACTTCAGCTTCTTCAACATTGGTGGTTGGGGCAAAACTTGAACTACTGTGATGTTGAACAGTTTGCCTTGGAAAAGAGCAAACATCATTCTGTCATTTTTGAGATTACACCCAAGTGCTGCATTTTGGACCCTTTTGTTGACTCTATGGGCTACTCCATTCCTTCTAAAGGATTCCTGCTCACAGTAGTAGATATAATGGTCATCTGAACTAAATTCACCCATTCATATCCATTTTATTTCACTGATTCCTAAGATTTGATGTTTACCCTTGCCATCTCCTACTTTACCATGTGAAATTTACCTTGATTCATGGGCCTAACATTCCAGGTTCTTTACAGCATTGGATTTTACTTTCACCACCAGACACATTCACAACTGAGCATCATTGCTTTGGCCCAGTCACTTCATTTTTTTTGGAGCTATTAGTAATTGCCCTCTGCTCTTCCCCAGTAGCATTTTGGACACTCTCTGACCTGGTCTCATCTTCCGATGTCATATCTTTTTGCCTTTTCATACTGTTCAGGAGGTTCTCCAGGCAAGAATACTGGAGTGGGTTGCCATTTCCTTCTCCAGTGGGTCAAGTTTTGTCACAACTCTTCACTATGACCTGTCCATCTTGGGTGGCCCTGCATGGCATGGCTCATAGCTTCACTGAGTCACACAAACCCCTTCACCGGGACAAGGCCGTGATCCATGAAGGGGCCAGTTTCCTCTGCAGACACTGATTATCCCACTGGGGAAAGGGACACATGCAATGGCCTCTGTCCTAGGCTTTGGGGAATACCACATATGAAGACAGTCTCCTTCAACAATTGTCCTTCCATTCTTATCAAATCTGGACCATCCGGGGCCACTTGGTCTATCTATCCTACTGCCCCCATGTAATGTAGTAGTGTTAGTTACTCAGCTGTATCCAACTCATTGTGACTCCATGGACTGTAGCCGACCAGGCTCCTCTGTCCATGGAATTCAACAGGAAAGAATACTGGAGTGGGTTGTCATTTCCTTCTCCACTGTCCCCATGTAGGTGTATACCTAAACCACACACGGTTGGTCAATAGTCAATCAAGATCACCATAGCCTTCCCACCAAAGACAGTCACTTCCCTGGACCTCCTGTGAACCAAGGACCCGGAAGGATCCCAGACGAACCATTCTTAGTCTCCCTCCCTTCAGTCCATTCCATGGATTTACTTGGAAAGTGTGAATCTAATGAATTAGATTCTCTCCTTCTTTCCCCAGAAGAGGAATGGTGGACATGGTGCTGAACAGTCAAGACTTGATGAGGGTACAGAAACTAGGATTGGGTTCAGATGATATAATAGAAAACTTCAAAATAATAGTGGCTGAAGGAAGATAAAGCTCATTTCTGTCTTGTAAAACAAGTCTAAATGTAGTTAGCCCCGGGATAAGCAGCTCTATCAGGCTTCCCTGGCTCAGTGATAAAGAATCTGCCTGCAGTGGAGGAGATCCGGGTTTGATCCCTGGGTTGGGAAGAGCCTCTGGAGGAGGGCATGGCAACCCAGCCCAGTATTCTTGCCTGGAGACCCCATGGACAGAGGAGCCTGGCGGGCTGCAGTCCGTAGGATTGAACAGAGTTGGCACAACTGCAGCAGCTGAGCAGCAGCAGCAGCTCTTTCGCCCACTGGTCCCAAGCTCCTTCTCTTCTGTGCCCCATCAGCGTCAGCATTGGCTTCCATCCTCAAGAACATGGCCCCAGATGGCTGCCAGAGTTCCAGCCACCGTGATTAGGATCACAGAAAGGTAGAAATGCAGAACAGAAAAGGGCTCCTCTCAGCTTTATCAGTTCCTTTTAAACCTCCTTCCCAGAAGTTCCACTCAATAGTTACTTCTCGTTGGAACATAATCTCTGGCTGCAAGGGGAGCTGAGAATTGTGCCTTTTAAGCCAGGGAACAATACCATCAGCTAAAAAATCAAGGTTTGATAGCTTTAAAGAGGAAAGGAAGAGTGGATATTGGAGAAAGTAAAGGGTAGCTTCTGCCACAAGGAATTCAATCTACATCTTAGGTCAACACATTCACTGGGCAGCTAGCGTGTGCCTGGCATGGGGCTGGGCTGAACCATAAAAGAGATAGGTCCTTATACCTCAGGAGCCAGCAGTCTAGAGTGGATGGGCTCATAGTTGCAAGTTGTTTTGGCAACAGAGTGTTAAAAAAGAGAAAAACATGCCATCGTTGAGTGGAGAATTCACATATGATCTGGAATTTTGGAGTCTCTTGAAGCATTTGAAGCTCTGGCAACACCAGACCTGTTTTAGATCACTGTGGCAACAGCTGGTTAGAGAAGCAACTGCCCTCCAGGGGCAGTTCCTTCCCCTTTTATTCCAGTCCCCGCCAAGCTCTGTGGCCTCACGCCACTCAAGATATCTGCATGGCCATAGCAGCATGTGAGTTAGCCGCCTCTGCTTAGGAAGACCCAGGTGGGTCGCCGGACAGGTTTCAGATGGCTCTGTGCGGACAGCACGCAGACCTACACAAACCACCCTGGTAGATGTAAACTTGGGCTTCCCAGGTGGCACTAGTCCTAAAGAACCCGCCTGCCAATGCAGGAGACCTAAGAGACACTGGTTCGATCCCGGGGCCTAGAAGATCCCCTGGAGGAGGGCACAGCAGCCCACTCCAGCATTCTTGCCTGGAGAATCCCACGGGCAGAGGAGCCTGGCGGGCTGCAGTCCATGGGGTCGCAAAGAGTCAGACACGACTGAAGAGACTTAGCAGATGTGAACTCACTTGAGCTTGTGCCTCTCAGGCACAAAAATGGCTCTGAAATAAAAAGCCAAAGCAAATCCACAGGCTTCCCAGAATTCTTGTGCTCTAAAGGAGAGATGGAAGATGTGAAAATATCCTTTTTCAACTTCTCCTTTGTTTGAGATGGCGTCTCCGGCTTGTGGAAGCAAGGGGAGGGGTGGGGGAACTGACAGAGGCAGGCATGTCTCTCTCCCGAACAGAAGACCCCTGGGTCAGGCCGAAGGTGGCCCTACCTCTCCCAGGCAAGAGCAGCTGCTGGAAGCTCCTCCCAGTTCAGCCGGGACCCAGGCTCCCCCTGCGGCTCACCTCGGAGCAGAGGCCCCTCATTAGTGCTCAGAGCGGTCTTTGCAGGCTGCCCCCTGGAGCCTTTCTCCCGAGCCCCCGGCTGGGCCGAGATCTTGCTGGAACCACATTCCGTCTCGCTTCAGAGCGCCCGCCTGGCTGAGACGACCCTGGCGCGGTGCAAGCCGCCCGGAGCGCGGCGGCCCATTCTGGGTGGCCTCCCTCCTGCCCGACCCAAGGGCGTCTTGCAGCTATAAATTGAGTAAATTGAAAATGTTACTGAGGGTTGGAGATAAAAGAGAGAGCTGGGTGTCTCCATGAATAAAACATGGGAGGGAGGCCATTTCTTGGAAAAATAGAGAGAATAAATTGTGGCGGATCAATTTTATCTAATTTCTTGGCCGAGCTTCTGACATGCAAATGAATGTGCTCATAATTTATGAGTGAGCTATGGAGATTACCAGAGGGAAGGACTGCCTGGGTTTCTGGTGGAGGAAGGAGGGGCTTGGCTAAGGATTTAGCAAAAAGTCTATGAAGCTTTTTCTCCTGAAACCTAAAGATTTAGGAACCCCCCCAGGAACCTTCCCAGGGAAGGCAAAAGCTTGGCAGAGTACATTCTGGATGCCTGGGACTATCTCTGGAATCAGTTCTTTGGGGCAGTCAGTGGCTGTCCCAGGCGCACCAATGGCCAGCTGGCCCGCGTGGCCACAACACACACAATCCAGCTACCGGGCCTTTGCTCAGCTGGTCTGCATCTCCCAATACCCCATCTCACCAACCATGTTCTCTGTCTTCACTCTTGGCTTCCAGCTTAAGTCTTCCCTGCTAGGCCCCAGGGAACCCACCCTTCTTTCTGTAGTCTTAGAATGATGTGTCTGCCCTTCTTGCTTTGAGTGACACATTGATCTGATCCTGTCTATAAATGTGTTCTCCTTGGCCTGAGCAATGACTGTAAAATATCTGAATTGGTTGCCAACATTGAGAAATTGGGAGATCGCTCATATATTCAGGATGCCTGGCTTCTATTGGAACATCTGGTTACACGGCCTTGTGCTGGTGTCAATGGGCTTTAATTAAGAAGCAGCCACGAGGCCTCTAAGACAGAGGCGGGCACCCTAATTTGCTGCAGACCCTACTGTTCCCTTTTGCCTCTCTGGCCTGAAGCCAATGTCAGTGGCCATTTATTGTTGGGTCTGCACTATCATTTTATTAAGAATGGAATGAATGGAAGAATGGAGTTAACGGGAAAGTGAAATGTCTCTTCTTGTGATTAATGAAGAGGGTAAGTTAGAGGGGCAGAGAACAGATTTCAAGAGGGAAAGGGCACTTGTTTGTTTGTTTGTTTTTTGACAGGAATGCCTCTTTATAGAGGACAGTGATGGGAAGGGGTATAGCAGGTGGTCATCACCACTGATTTCCCTGCCAAGACCTGCAGGCCCATGTTTTCATAGTGCTCATGGCCCTCTAGGATCAGCTTGCTTGCTTACATTGCTTTTGTGTGTATCACCCCAGCAGTTAAGCTCCACGAGGGTAGAGACCTAATCTGTTCACTGCTGTAGTCTCATAGCCTGCATTTAGTAGGTGCTCAATAGTTATTTAAAGGATGAGTGGAAAGTGGCCTATCTGGATGTCTGATCCAGAGGAGCCTTTTGAGAGGAGGGGTGTTGGGAAGAGGGTTCTCTGAGAAGGAGGCACAGCAGCAGGGGAGGGGGCGCTGGCACAGTTACCTCTGAAGTGTCAGATGGGGGTGAGGCCTGGCTGCTTGCTTGGAGACTGCGGAAATGTCTGCTGGACCCAGGCTGGCCCAGAGCATCCGTATGTAGAGTGTTGTGTAAGCCCACCAGTGCAGGAGCAGGACTGGTAAGATCCTGGGAAAAGAGGTCACTGTGAAGGAGGTGTCATCCGCTGGGTGGGCTCCATGTGAGCCCTGGGGTGCCCCCTTCATCACTCCCAGGGCATCATCAGGCAGCGACAAGAATCTGAGCATGTCAGAGCTGGGAGGGAAACTGAGGCTCAGCGTGGGGACTGGGCCACAGGAAGTCTCTGAGGACACAGGAGTCTGCTCAGGCTTGGACTCTGCACCTGGGTCCTCTGCGAGTCCAAAGAGATGCAGGCACTGTCAATTGTGAGTCTCCAGATAGATGAAAACAAGGCGCACATGCTAAGTCATTTCAGTCGTGTCTGACTCTTTGCGACCCCATGGACTGTAGCCCACCAGGTTCCTCTGTCCGTGGGATTCTCCAGGCAAGAACACTGGAGTGGGTTGCCATGCCCTCCTCCAGGGGATCTTCCTGACCCAGGGATCAAACCTGTGTCTCTTATGTCTCCTGCCTTGGCAGGCAGGTTCTTTACCACTGAGCCATCTGGGAAGCCCTCAGAACAAGTAGAGAAATGCTCAAATTGGGTTTTTTAAATGGTGGCATGTTTAACATTTTTGCATTGAAAAGGCTAACATTTTAAACTTATTGAAAAAATATCACACAGAAGACGATCACAGTGTTTAGAAATAACAGTCAATTCCTGCCTCCTGCAGGGGTGGTCTGGGAGCGATTGGATGGCCTTATACAATGGAATGGTCTTTATTTATTCCTGCCAGTTGATGTCTGTGACTCTGCCTAGACCCATTAGGAGACCCTCTGTGGTCTACAATCGTGGTCATTGTGTGTGTATGCTCAGACTCTCAGCTGTGTTCAACTCTTTGAGACCCCATGGAATATAGCTCCTCTGTCCATAGGATTCTCAAGGCAAGAATACTAGAAAGGGTTGCCATTTCCTTCTCCAGGGGATCTTCCTGACCCAGGGATTGAACCTATGTCTCTTAAGTCTCCTGAATTGGCAGGCGGATTCTTTATCACTAGCGCCACCTGGTGGGTAGGAAGCAAAAGCTGCATGACCTCTCTGTGGCAGGCGCAGGTCAGAATCCCTCTAAGCCTCAGTCTTCTGTTCTAGAAAATGGGCACCTTCCTTTGTAGCCCACAGAGCTGAGCTGAGGATGACTGTGTGGAGTGCTTAGCCCTGCGGGCTGCTGCTTCAGCCATAGAGCCGGATCCTACCCCAAGGCTCCTGCTCTTTCTGCACCTCCCCTCTGTCCCCATAAGCTCATCTCTTGGGGAGGTTTCAGAGCTCTGCTAATAGGACCTATCCCTTGAAAGCAGAAATGGAATTTTTCTTCCCAAATCCGTTCCTTAGGGGAAGTCTTCAAAGAGAGTTCTTGTAATTTCCTGTCATAAAATTTTATGTCCAATTACAAACAATGAACTGTGAGCATTAATTGAGCAGACTGGGAGATTTTCTGTTTTTAAATCATGACTATTTTAAAACCTCCCAGACCACGAGAAAATGGCCCGAGGAAATAAACTTCCTGAGGGTGGCCCAAGCAGCATCCCACTCTTGCGGCCCCTCTCATTGCCTCTGGGGCCCTGCTGGAAAAGTGGCCACTGCGCCCAGCAGAGCCAGAGGGCCTGCTGCAGGAAGACGAAGCAAGAGGCTGCCCAGTTCTGGTGTGCAGAGCTACATGAATCACGGCTTTCACCCACTCCAGCTGCCGGTGTGTAACTGATCTGTATCCATCCATCCATCCATCCAACCACCCACCCATCTACCCATTCACCCATCCCACCAAACACTATTAGCTGAGTGCCTACCACGTGCCAGGCTCTGGGCACATAGGTCTGTGAGTAAAACAGACAAGCATTCGTCTCCAACTTGAGCTGACATTTTAACAAGGGAGACAGAGATAATGAACACAATAAATAAGAACACTATACAGTATATTAGAAGGTAATAAGTGCTTTGGAGAAAAACTAATTTGGGGATGAGACAGGAAGAAGAGCGTGGAGGCAGGTCTCCTTGAGACTGTGACATTTGAGCAAAGATTTGAAGGAGGCTGGGAAGCAAGCCATGTGGCTGTCTGGGTGGAAGTGTTCCAGGTAGAAGAAAAAAAGTGTGTTCAAGGGCTCTGGGGGATGCCCAGGAGGAAGGGGCTCTGTGCAGCCCTGCTCACCCTTCTAAGGACATTGAGTTGGCTCTGAAAGAACTGGGAGCCATTATGGGGTTGCAAACAGAGGAGTAATGTATGCTTACTTAAAAAAAATTTTTTTTTAATTAATATTTATTTATTTATTTTGGCATGCTGGGTTTTCACTGCTGTGCACAGCATTTCTCTAGTTGCAGCGAGTGGAGACGACCTCTGGTTGAGGCGCACGGGCTTCTCCTTGCAGTGGCTTCTCTTGGTTTGGAGCACAGGTTCTAGTGGGCTCAGGAGTTGTGGCAGACAGGCTTAGTTGTTCCGCGGCCATGTGGGATCTTCCCAGGCCAGGGATCAAACCCGTGTCCCCTGCAGTGCCAGGCGGACTCTTAACCACTGGACCGCCAGCAAGCCCCTGCACGGGCTTACTTTTTAAAAGACTGCCCTGACTGCTGTGTTGAGGTTAGCACTGCTGTCCACCACTGAAGCTACTGGACTCAAGGCTGTGAAGGGCTTGACACGTGGCCCATCTGATTCTGGATGGTGAAGACTTACCGTGCAAGAGAGAAACTGCCTCATTAACTATTTGAAGACATTGATTATAAGTTGCAACGATAATATTTTGAATATATTAGCCTAGAATTTGTATTATTACAATTTATTGCATTTCACTTTTTAGAGTGTGGCTACTAGAAAAGGTAAAATTCCATACATGGCTCATATTCTGTTTCTACTGGACAGCGCTGCTCTGGACAGTACAGGTCAAGGGCAGAAGCTGGGAGACACTGGGGGGGAACGGCCGTAATTCATGTGAGAGGCGATGGCAGGCGATCCAGGGGACAGCGTGGTGGGAAGTGGTGGGATTCTAGATGGATTGTGAAGCTGTGTTTGTGACTGGACTGCAGGGTGTTGCTTCACAGATGCGTGAGGAATGACTCACACATGGGCTCTGCCTGTCACACTGTGGTGGGGAGGTGCGTGGAAAGGGAGACGGGATCCGGAGAGTCAGAATTCTCTCCTGGAACCAGAGTCTGGAACAATGCCCCGGGAGGGACTGTTGGTGGTTTAACTCAGAGAACTGACTGTCCGCATGGGGGCAGTATAAGCCCAGGTCTCGTGTAACAGGTGGTTGTGAGAATCCAGGTCTTGACTTCCCCATCTGTAAAATGGGGGCAGAGCTGTGAAAGTTAAGCGGGTAGCTAGACTGCGTGCAGTCGATGGGGTGCTACTGTTATTACAGATACAGGGACTACAATCTGGAAAGAACTGGGGCTGGTTCACCTG